ACAGTTCTCAAAAGGATAATGCTTTGAAGGTTGTCTGTCCTAATAAAGCTTTAGAAGAGCAGGAGTTAACATGATTGCTAACAAAGTCAACGAGGCTTTGCCATTTGGGCTGTGAAGTGCTGTCAGTACAGCCTGCACCAGCTCACCCACTGCTACTGTGGGACTATTTGCAGTGAGGTGCAAAGACCCCCTTGCAATCACAGAGCTCTAACCCGGTAGGCAGGAGGCAAATCTGATGTTACAACTGCATTTGTAATTTTTACCTCATTGTGTAAGGTGTTTGTCCCCTGGCCTTTGGGTAATGATGCCATGTATTAACCGTCCAGGACATAAATCCTGTGGATTGTGTAACGAAGGAGCGGCTGATGGGGAATGGGCAACCTAAGCTTCGGATTTGTGTTGGTTTGGTCCTAGTTTTCTTCAGTGCAAGCCCTGTTGGAGCAAATAACCCCAGCTAATTAGCTGCTTAGAGGCTGAGAGCCTGGATATTGCTGCAAATGGAAACAGAACTTGCTGGCCGTTGTCCTTACTGCCAGCTGAGGGTATGTGTGGTTAGCAGTTATACATGAGGATTTAAGCTGTCAGCTGGCTAATTGGGTGTGAACACAGACTCTTGGCTCAAAGAACTCTCACAGATGAAGAAATAATTTGCTTTGTTTGCTGCACCACTTCTCAGCGAGCTGCTGGTGAGAAAAGAAAGCAAGGTGCTAGCTGGGGACCCAGCAGCAGCTTGGTGGTTGGTGAGAAATGCTTGCCCTGGCTGATCTCCTGGGAAAAGCCCTAGGAAATACCTGCTAAAACAGGACTTCGGTAGGAAGGTGGGATGTGCACACCTGATCCTGAAGCACAGTATCAGCACAGGTAGCTGTCAGACGGTCTCTTATACACTTCACATGGCTCCACCTGTGTGATCGGTTATGGGCATCCTCCTTAGGTTGTCATTAATGGTGGATCAGTAACGGGACTTCTGTGTGACCAGCCCCAGACCTCTGCTAGCAGCCTGGGCCTGCTCTCTTAGGGCCTGTGTTGGGTTATGCTCCCGTGGGCCATCCTGCGGCCACTCACTGTTACATGCATTATCGCTCAGAAGTCACTGATGGTTGACTCTACACGACAATAGGGTGCAAGAGCAGTATTTCAGCTCTGTTATTAATACCTATTTAAATACGGTAATGGTATGGATATGGATTGGACTTTGGGTTTTAGCAGAGGAGCGCAGCCTGTGTCCTGTGATTCATGGATGTTTAATGTATCCTTGCGTAACGTGTGCTGCCTGAGGAAGGCAGGGGCTGATGGCCCAGTGTTGGCTACTGGACTAGAGGCGGGAGGATGAGGAACTCTTAGGAGTGGGTGTGGAGGTATGCAGATGCTGCAAGATGGTTTTTAAGCACAAGCCTGCTTGGTTAAAGTTTGTGGTTAAAGTTTTAGGAGATGTCAGAGGATGCTTTTTGTACTACTTCATTCAGTCACAAGGCCTGACTGTACCTGGATTCCTTTGTCATCCTTTGGTATCCCATTCTTCTCTCTTCCCTGTTTTCAGGCCTGGCACCCCTCCTCTCTCTGCCTTTCAGTTCTCCTGGGGCTTTCCATGACCATGGCAGGTTCCTTATCTCTACAGCATGCCCAGCCCTGTTGGCAGAGCTGCTCAGACCCTGCCTGATACTAACTAGTCTGTCGCACTGGGGCTCTTTTAAACCCCAACCTGTCATATTTAAACAAAGCTGCGAAAATTGACTTATCTACAGCTCAGTGGAGTTACTCACACAGGTGTAACTTTCCTACTTGCTGGTACTCCCCTTCTTCCAGTATAAATCAAGACAGACTGTGAAAATTCATTTTAAATTTCATGTCTAGGACTGGATCTTGGACCTTTATGACACTGAGAAGTCACCACATTGCTTTTAATGTCCTTATATCCTGTCTCCTGGAGGGCTGCTGCTGAGCAGCACAGTGTGACCGAATTGCTAGCCAAGCTTCCAAAGAGCTGGATTTGGCAGAGGTCTGCAGGTTAAAACCAGCCTCAGCGGACAATGGTCAGGGGAGCCAGCTCAGGTGGTGGCAATAAATTATACTATAATTTAATAAATTATATTTTTAATAATTAATTTAATAAATTATACTATAATTTTTATATATTTATACTAAATATAACTCCCAGCAATAAATTATAGCTGCAGCTCCACTTCAGAGTGCTCCTCAGAAGGAGCATTGGTGTGAAAACCTAGCTGTTCCTGCAGGGAGCAGCTTTTTTCGAGGTGGGTCAGAGTAAGGATGTCTGCAGCCTCCTCATCTATCGCCCGATTGCTGTACGGCAAACAAAATGCCTCTTTGGCACTCTGCTGTGCTGCAGCTAGGAGGGCAGGATGGGCTGTGCAAGGGATGCTTCCCACTAGCGTCTGACCTGAAATAGGTCAAGGAGCTTATGGGAGTTGAGCTGGCAGTTAAGGTGGAGAGAATTATTCTCGCCTGAGTTTGCACTCTGTGCTGTTGCAGAGGGGAAGGCTGCAGATCTTTAATTCGTACACCTGTGCCTTCCCTAGCAGGACCAATCTGACAGCTTGCACAGATGCACCTTTAAAGGGCATCCACTTTTTCTGGCCCCACTTCTGTCCCAGCCTGGAGGTACCCGATGCAGTGCCCAGCAATTGGTGGCTCTTATTCAGGGCAGTCTGCGGGCTTGTTCCTGCCCCCAGCAGTGCGTGTTATCCTCGCCCCAGGGGCAGGCAGGCGGCCAGTGCTTCGCCTGAGGCTGAGGGCCCTTGTCCAGGTCTGTGCACTCACCCGGCAGCTGTGCACTCAGCGTTCAGCTCTGTGGGACTGGGAGATGCTCCTGAGTGCCATCCAAACCCTGGGAGGAGGTGTAAGAGAGAGCAGAGGCACCATCTGACATTTCCCCTTCTTTCTTGCTCTCAGAATGATTTGTGTGACGAGGCAGAAAAATCTTTACAGGAGCCCAGCCGTGAGGCAGGCAGCCCCAGAGGAGAACCACACAGCCCGAGCCAGGAGCCTACGGGTTAACGCGCAGCACCGGGCTTGGGTCACCCCAGGCTTGAGGAACAGCCCAGATGAAACAAAGTACCTTCTGCCCAGCTGGGGCGCAGATAAAAGATCCCATGGCATTTCTTGTGAAGCCTGGAGGAGACTGCCAGTGCTGAAGCTGAACTCTCTCTGCCAACAAACAAAACTGTCTTTAAACTCCGAGGCTGTGTGTGAGCTATTGTTGGGGACATAATGGCTTCTCTGTTTCCCTGCACAGTCACTGCTCTGCAAACACACCACTAGTCTCTTTTAAAAGTAGTTGAGTGTAAATTAAGTTCTGAACCAGAGAAGAGGTTTCACCCATTTACTTTTCCCTGCCCTTGTTTGACGTTTGTTGACAGAACAGCACATACAGTAGATTTATACCCTGGTTTGAGTTGCCTTCCTTGGGGGTGGACATCTTTTGTGCTGACTGAGACTCACAGACACAGGGCTTGGATAAAAAATGGGTACATACCTTCTTTCTAAAATAACAGGAGTGGGGGTAAGGCTGTGCTGAGGGGCAGTGCTTGCTAATCTCCTCCCTCTGAGGAGTGTTTCAGTTTGGCTGGCCTGGCCTGTTTTCTCTAGTTAGGTCAGCATTGGCACACTCACTGTTTCCTAGTCCTGCGTATGCCGCTGCTGCAAGGCACCAAATGCTGCTCTGACTGCTGGAGGTTGCGCTACCTGGGGCTGTTGAACATCCACAGAGGGTGAGGTTGGTGGATCCTCTCTTCATTCGCAGTGCCATGGATTGGTTTGTCTCTGAGGAAAGCAGATGCTTCAGTAAGGTAAAGGGTATCTTGACTATTGCACAAGTATCGTAGTCATGGTGAAAAGCCAAACCTGTGCTACACAGGGGGAGGTTGGTCCCTGAAGGTGATTTGATGAATTTAGATCTTTTTGATGGAACAATTCTGTAATGAGAAAGAAAATGGGTCAAAGAGTAGTTCAAGCCATATTTCATGAACTGTCAGTCCTAGCGAGATATCACTGACTTTCCATTCCCTCAATAGCTCTTAGCTTGGTGTGTGTCTGGAATACACTTGCTGCAGATCGTCTCTGTGATCTATTCTCACCCACCAATGAAGTGCAACCCTGTGCACCCCATGAGCAACTTTCTGCAGGAGGGGGAAGCATGGAGAAATAGGAACTGGCCACCACCTTCTAGAAGTGGCAGGCTCATTGGAGAGGCATTCTGGCCAAGGACCCTGAGCAGAAGGGGGTGCTATGCTTGCCCTGGGGTGCACCAAATAGAGTCTTATTATTGACTAAGATGTGTATTGTACTGGTTAGTTGCAACCTCCTGGACAGGGAGGGACTTCTTCAAAGCCATGGCATTTAAAAGCAGGTAATATGAAGTTAAAGCTCTGAATTTTTCCACTAAAGATGATGCAAATCATAACTAACACCAGTTATGTTCTGCTCATCTGACCTATGTAACTGCTGTTGTTTTGGGGTGTGAAAGATAAGACAGGTGTATCTTATATATAGATATCAACCAGGTGATAGCTGCTGGCTTGGGGCCTTTTCACTGCAGGGGCTATAGCACTTCAGAGCTGTTACCAAGGCTTCCAGGAGTCTGTAGGGTCCCCATCCTTCCCAACAGAGAAGCAACTTAAATATTTGCTGATAGCTAAAATCCTCAGAGAATAAAGCCACAGAGCAAATAGTTCTCTTGTTGAAATTGTTCACTTCCTCATCTTCTAGAAGATCCCCTCCCCTCTTGATAGTCACTTTCACTTCAAAGCAGGACTTCGCCCTAATGGAACTGTCAAGGCCAGAATTGGGCTCACCTCTCCTCGTTGCTCCTTGTAAAACCGCCCTTCCACGTGCAGAGCCGTCAACTGCCAGGGAGAGAGGGGAAATGGTGGATATGAAAGAAGATAGGTGAAAAGACTCCTCTTGTGCCTGATCATCTGTTCCCTAGCTCCCACATACCCCAGAAGCAGCAAGATTGATGATCCTGTCTCTTCCCACAGAAAGATGAAGAAGCGCTATGTGGTGGCTGTAGTCCTGACTGTAGTCCTACTGGGGCTCATCTTGTTCCTGGGACTCTTCTTCGGACTGCGCTCTGACTCAGAGGACACACACACCTATAAGAGGGCGGCTGTGGCTACAGACGCGGGGCAGTGCTCAATAATTGGAAGGTACCCGCTAATTCTGCTGTGACTCTTGCTATCACTGACAGCTCTTGCACAAGACAAAACTGTTCTGTTCTGTTTTCCTGGTGTGTGCAGGTGCAACCCTGGCAGCTGCACAGCACAGATACTCTCATCTCCCTGTAGAACGAGGAGGCCGTAGCAAAACCTGGGCTCTCATGATGCCCAAACAATGTTACTGCAGTCACTCAAAGATAGTACGGTAGACAAAGATTCTCTAGGCACAGAAACTACAGGAATGAGAGATGCTTTTCAAGCTTTTCTTAGAATTTGTTCTTCAGTTCCAGATGCAAGTGATGCAGATTTCAGGCTCCTTCGAGCTGTCGTTTCCGAAGTAATGAGTGTGGCTGGGATGTCAGCCTCCCCCATGTACTTTGACACATCTTGCTATCTTCAAGCTAGATTGTATGCTTCTCAATTGAGGGGTGATCTGGTCTGTACCCAGACCATTAGGATTTCTTCCCTAAGGAGACAGAAGCTCAAACATCCTATTCCTGGGAACCTTTAGACCAGGTGTGGATGAAAGTTCCTTAGAGAGAGTCTGTAATATCTTCTCTGATGAGTTGACTGATGAGTGACATGTCACCATAAGATGCCTTCTCTGCTGTGCCTCAGGGACATCCTTCAGCAAGGTGGATCTGCGGTAGATTCTGCAATTGCAGCTCTGCTCTGTGTGGGACTCATGAACGCTCACAGCATGGGCATTGGAGGGGGACTGTTCTTTACCATCTACAACAGCACAGGTAAGGAATAAGGCCATACATATCTGGAACAGGTCCACCCATCTATCTAAAGCACAGAGGGGTTATTTATGCTACCTGAGTCAAGGTAAGAGGCTGACTCTCCTAGTCTCTGTAGGACCATGCTGTCCTCAAAATATCTGCCAAGAAACTGGCTCCCAGTGATCAGACTTACTCAGCACAGACCATGCCTGGGTGCTGAGTTCAGAGCTAATCATCTTGTTTCCTTCCTGTCTTTAAAGGAAAAGTGGAAATCATTAATGCAAGAGAGGTGGCACCAAAAAGAGCCTCGGAGGCCATGTTTGGGAACAACACACAGCTCTCTCTGAAAGGTATGGCAAAGGTTATTTCACTGCTTTGGGGGTCCACACAGCTCCAACATTAGCTGCTACTGACCTGTCTGGATAAAGAACATTTTTTATGGTTATGTTCTTGCATATCTACAGAATTTCTGACCTGCATCTTGCCGAAAATGTCCTCTATGCAGTCTTTTAAAGGCTAACAGATAAGCCCAGCTCTACCTCCTACTCCAGTAATTGGTTTTTGTTTTCTTGCTTTGGAAAACTAATAAATTCTTTGTCTGCTCCAGGAGGATTGTCCATCGCTGTTCCCGGAGAAATCCGTGGCTATGAACTGGCTCACAAACGTCATGGCAGGCTGGCGTGGAAAGACCTGTTTATGCCCAGTGTCAAGTTGGCAAGAGAAGGATTCCCTATTGGGAAAGGCCTTGCAGCAGCCATCAAATCAAGAGAGACGTCAATTGAAAACAACCCCTCACTGTGGTAGGTAGAGAAGTCTCACTGTGGCAGGTAGAGTAGTTGCAGATCTGTGCAGAGAAATTTGGGGTTACTGCATCCTAGCTGAAGAATCTGTGTTTCTGTAATGTAATGTTTGTGAGCCTGTGCCTGCCCTGCAGTGACTGTACTCACTGCACCTGCTGATGTTCCAGCTCCCTGAAGGTGTTAAATTATGTGGCCAATTTTGGGGATGTTCATTCCTGGCTTTTAAAGGGGGAGATAAATTCTACTCTTAAAGTCCATTTGTCTGAGCAGAGATGGAGCTGAAGTACATGCTGGGATGCATCTGTCAAATGGCGATGTTTGTCTGAATCCTCAGCCTTTCCTCAGGCTGTAAGTGCACTAAACTAATATTACCTGCATTTGGGACAATTGCAGGGTATATTTTTCTCCTTGAACATCTCATCTGCTGTCAGGCAGTGGGTTGCTGGGTCATCTCTTCCTCTACAGTCAGCCTTCCCAGAGCAATGCTTCCGATCATCTACTTCTGGCAATGACTGTGAACACAGAGGATTTTAAATACACTTCCTCTTACAGTCCCATGGTGTCTGTGTCCAGCCCCACTGGAGATCATGCTTAATCTTTTCTTTTCCTGCCAGCTGCAGGTTGGTTTGCAATTCCAAATGGGATGTACAGTCTGGACTCCTGTACTTCCATCTGGCAGGTCCACAGCATCATATCCATGATCCCTGATGAGGGAGCTAGAAAGGGACCTGTCTACTTGGAAGTGCTCTGACCATCAGGAATCAGAATGCATTCTCTTGGACTCACTGGAAGCTTTGAGCCTTTTAGCTTCATAGTCTGTGCTCTGAAACTGAACTGCTTGAGTTCAAGGACTATGGTCTCTCGTGGGCATCTTGAAGCAGTTAACCCCATGGGCAGGTAGGAAGGGTGGCCTGCCTTGGTAACAAAGATTCACACTCCCTCCAATAGGCTTCACTGAAAAAATTCTGAGCAATGTGGAATCCCAGGTCAGAAAACCACTGTTCAGTTATATGTCCCGATGCAAGGACAGTTCCTCTCCTCTCCACAAAGGCACTAGCATGAGCAGTCGAATACTGTGTCAGCTGATACAGCTACGCGTAGTTTTGAACGTGTCTCTCAGATGTGATCTTCTCAATCTTCTTTCTCCATTAGCGAAGTGTTCTGCAGAGGAGGGAAAATTCTGCAAGAGGGTGATATTGTCAAGATGCCTAAACTAGCCGACACATATGAGACTATAGCCAATGAAGGAGCAGATGCCTTTTACACAGGAAGCCTGGCAAAACAGATCATCGCTGACATCCAGAGTGTAGGTGAGAAACAGGACATCTGTTCAAAATAGCGTGAGTGCCTGACTGCTGCAGCTCAGCATCCAGGGAGGAGCTGGTGACCTGCAGAAGCCTTGGAAGCAGGTCAGGCCTGCTGCCTGAAATGCCACCTCTGAGACCCGTGGCAACAGGAGGCACAAGAGAAGCTGTTTTAGTACTTTAATGGATGTGTTTGAAACCCAATTAGAAATGGGGGGTAGATACTGTACATTTTCGCACCATATAGTCTACCAAGTCTTATGTGTTCCTGGGCATCACATAGTGGATACATGCTGTTTACAGAGCCTAAGTCCAGCAAGTTACCGTCCCTGGCGGGTTGCATAAGAAAAGGTTGGATGTGATACTTAGGGACCTGGTTTAGTGGGTGATACTGGTGGTAGGGGGATAGTTGGACCAGGTGATCTTGGAGGTCTTTTCCAACCTTAATTATTCTATGATTCTAAAAGTTTCTACCTGAAACAATACATACATGGTCCTGTAAACTCTTAAGTTGTTTAATCTCTCAATGCCACTAGATGGTGGCAGTACCCTATCCTTGCTAGCTAGCATTGGCTAGCTTCAGAGAAACTCACGGGCATAAGTCATTTCCTGGATTTATTTGTGATGATTAATTACTGTCTTCCCCTTTCTGATTAAAAAAAAAAAAAAACAACAAAAAAACAAAAACAACAAAAAAAAAAAAAAAAAAAAAAAAAAAAAAAAAAAAAAAACAATGGAATGTACCTGTTATTCTGTTTGTTGGGTAGCACAAAACATCTGCACCCAAAAGCTGCATCCTTCCCCTGTAAGGAGTGTTCTTAAGGACATTTTGTTCCCTGCCATTGCTGGTGTCTTTTGTAGAAATAGATGGATCACCAGATTTTTGGCTGCTGCAAATCAGTCCAACTTCAAGCTTAGACTACCTGAGCCTTGGCTGGATCTATCAAGGAATAAATCCATCTCCTGTGCACCTATCTTTGCTCCCTTTACCTTGCAACTTTTTTGCTTTGTCTGTGTTCCCTCTTGACCTTACTGTGACGCCTGGTATAAGCGTATGACCTCCTCTTCCCACCAGAGATCACAAGCCCACGTCTATAGTTTCCTTCTCTGTTCCAGGGGGGATTGTCTCAATGGATGACCTGCGGGACTACAGTGCAACGGTGATTGAAGATCCCATACAGGTTACGCTTGGGGAGTTTACCCTCTACACACCTAGTGCCCCCCTGAGCGGCCCAGTGCTAGCCCTCATTTTCAACATACTGAAAGGTGAGAGTGCCACTGAGCAGTGCCCTACTGGCAGCAGGAGCTGGGAGAGTTCCAAAGACAACTGCTCTTTTGGTTATGGGAGCTGGGTCTCAATAGCCCTCCAGCAGATAGGTCTGAGACCCCAGAAAAGGATCAGAGATGTGGAAACATTCCTGGTCTACTTTAAACTCAGGGACATCACCTTTCTACCTGAAATAGAAGTGCAAGAGGAAAAATATGCTTCTGAATGCAGCACTTCCCAGGTACCTGAATGGGTGGAAATGAACTTGTACTTGCAGCTTCTTTAGAAAACATCTCCCCAGATACAAATCCCGCTGATGCCTCCCACAGTGCTCAAAACTACTAGAGCTCCTGTGCTCTCCATGCAGAGGTTAGGACAGTGCAGTGACTGCATCTCTGTAGAGACTCAGTTTCAAGATGATCCCATACAACAGTTTTATTAGCAGCCTGTTGACTGTGTACTTTGCTTTGTGTTCACAGTGGTTTGTCTTCTGTTGCCAGGATATAATTTCTCTGCTGACAGCATCAAAACTGTGGAGAAGAAAGGTCTGACTTACCACCGCATTGTGGAGGCCTTTCGCTTTGCCTACGCCAAGAGGACTTTACTGGGAGATCCAAAATATGTCAACATTACAGAGGTACCTGGCAAAAGCCTTTTCTTTCTGCAACACCCAGGCTACTGGAACATGGCTTTTTGGTTTTGGGTGACTAAACATTGTCAGGGATGCTCTGCACCACCTGCTATTGACAGGCACTGAAATATCTCTGAATCAAAATGGGAAGTCCTTATGCGACTCATGGCTGAGCTGTGAGGGATATAAATGGAGGAAACCTTCCCGCTATTAGGAAAAGCAAAATCCTCAATTGACCAGGAGCATTTGAGTATATTTAGGGCTAACCCTCCCATTTTTCATAGTCTTTGGAGTCATTGCCTAGATGATACTCTCAGCACCCTTGTGGCTCTCTAACCACAGTCCTACCTATAGTAAATGGACCTACGGAGGAGAAGGGGTGAGGCAGGAAACCTGCTTTTTCCAACTTCACACTTTGTGCTTTTACTTCTGTGATTCTCCAAAAGCAGCAGGATCTGAGCACAGCCCAGCTTGATGGACACAAATTTGCAACTTACCGAGCAATGATCAGAGCTTGCCTTGGTCTAGTCCTCTCAACCTGACCCCTCTTCTCTCATCTCTGAAGCAAGTGTAACAGTGCTTGCCTACACCTTACAGCAGTGTTGAGGACAGCTTTCCATAGATCTGCAATAATGGATGCTGATTAACTTCCCACATAAAGGGGCGCATTGTACAGCTTCTTCCATGACTCTTTGGTACAGTGTCCATCTTTCAAGAAGGAGGAAAAGCCCTGCTGGAAAAATATAGCCTCACTGCTGGGATTTGCCACTCTTCTGTGGTCTGAAGTGTTGGATATCAGCCTCATACATGTCTCTTAAACTTAATCTGCTGAGTAACTGCATTGGATTTTTCTGACAGGCAATCAGAAACATGACGTCCGAGTTCTTTGCTGATAGTCTCCGAAGAAAAATCACAGACAACACTTCCCATCCAGTTGACTACTACGAGCCAGTATATTACACTCCAGATACTGCCGGTACATCCCACCTCTCCATTGTGGCTGATGATGGCAGTGCTGTGTCCGCCACCAGCACCATCAACCAATAGTATGAGCTCAGACATTACTTCTGTGTAGGCCTCTGCCATCTTCCTAGTGGTGGTTCTGTGGTTGGTATAAAACATCGCTGTCATCTCCGTAGCGGGGCTGTGATGGGTAGCACTGTTGATGGGCACTTCTGCTAAGCTTACAGGTCAGTTCTTAATGCTGAGACTTGCGTAGTTGGGTCAGAGGACAGGATATGTGAAGTGGGGTCCTCTGTCATGTTGGGTTCACCCACTGAGGAAATATCCACTGCATCTGGATTTTCTCATAAGCAGTGGTATCACTGCAGGCTCTGATTTCCCAGGCATCTGGAAGGAATTTGAGCTAATGCAGCTGGTCTGAAAGCACAGTATTTGTCTAGAGTGCTGTCAGGAAGAGCTGTGTTCTGTATACATGGTCTGAAGCTGGGGGAGGGTGGGAGGTTCTTTCTGTCCATAGAAAATGTCACTTGACACATCTAAGCACGACCCCAACCATTTCCAAAGATGGCAGTCTCTGAACTACGCTGCCTCTGAATGGAGTGCAGTACTGCCCGGTTGGAAGGGGATTAATTGTATTTTGCTGCTGTGCTTTTCTTCCCCTCAGGGTCCTTGCAGGGGAGCTACACAGCAGGATGCTGGGCTGCCTTTCCTCTTTGTGTAGCTAGCTGTGTGCTCACAGTATAAACTGCTTCCTTCCCCCAAGGGGTGACAGAATGTCCTTTGCAACACAAGGGAGTGGAGAGTTCCTCCCATCAAATTCCAGTTTTCACATTGCAGTAATTCACCTGAAGCTTGTCCTGGATTTCCTATGATCTTCACGTGTCTGCGCTAACTTGTTTTGTCTAGCTTTGGCTCTGACGTACGATCCAACGTGAGCGGAATCATATATAACGATGAGATGGATGACTTCAGCTCACCTTACATAATCAATGGATTTGGGATACCTCCTTCTCCAGCAAATTTCATAGCACCAGGTAGCTGTAAACTACCTTCCTGACTCCATCCTGTATCTCTATCTTGCATACTAAGGCTGTGGTATCTGCAAGGTAGGCTGCTGCATGTTTGAAATCAGCCACAGATCTGGGGCTTTCTGCAGAGTGGAGGTGAACATGAGGCACGTGGCATCCCTGCCAAAAGTGCACTCCCAGCCTCCTCTGGTATACCCTGAAGAAGGAGAAGCCATCTGAAGAAAACCTCCTGGGCACGCCTCCTTCCAGCAACCAGAAATCCTTTTGCAGGGAGCTCAGAGCATATCAAGTGAAATGACTTGGGGATATGAAAGATTTCTTTGAACTTACTAGTAGGAGGGAGGCAGCAGCAGGAGCTGACTGCTAAGTGTTACACGGCCCTATCCAGCCTTATCCCTGTGCTGTTGTGGGTTCTGTAGGACAGCTCCAGACAGACTTATTTCATGCACCTAACCAAGCACCCTGCCTGCTCCATCACTGCTTCCTGCAGAGCCATCTCATTGCCACAGCAGTGGGCTTGGGGTTCTGTCACCCTCCTGTACCATGTTTTGGAGAGAGACAGGGAAGTGATAGGAAGTCCCACAGTTTAGAGGAGGCAGCTGCATGATGGACAATCCCAACTGGGACAGAACCATGGAGGCAGGCACCTTCAGCCTCTGCACAAAATACCAGGGTTCAGCTTTGCATTGTGGTAGCAACAAGATGTGTACGGGGGACACTGGGACCCCCGAGGGATGAACAAGACCGCCTGAGTCAGGAAGGTGGATATGGAGGCTCTGGGTTTAGATGTGGAGTGGGAGCCGGCAGTCTGTAAGCTACAGGTGGAAAGCTGAGCCTCTGTTGCATCTGTCCCCGACAGGTAAACAACCGATGTCCTCCATGTGCCCCTCCATCTTGGTGGACAAATCAAAAAAGGTCAGGATGGTGGTTGGTGCTTCTGGAGGAACAAAAATAACCACAGCAACAGCACTGGTATGTGATGATGTGGGCAATCTGGGGGCAAAGGTGAGGCAAAACAAAGTGGGGGAGAGGCAGTGTTTGGGGTTAAGGGGTTCATGCCTATGATATGACCATAGCCATGGCTCCCTGCTGCAGGCCTGGGGGCTGAAAGAAAGGTTCATGCCTGGCCTTCTGAGGGCCAGGCCTTCAACCCCAACTCCTGCTTGCCAGAGCGTCAAAGGGTCTCTCAATAAATTACTTCAGTGACTCTGGGTTTTTCCTTTGGCAAATTGTTCTTAACACTTGTAGGAGATTTATGACTTTGGTTTAGCTTTGACTTCTGAATTGCCATGAACTCTTTTCCTAGTTTAGAGTCATTCTCATCCAACCCCCCAAACTTCAGGTGAAAGTCATGCAGAGTAGCTAAATTAAGAACTTAGGCCAGGCATGGTATCATCTGAGAGACAGGCTCTTTGTGACCTGCTGTGGCAGCCAGTCAAAGGCCCAGATAGACCAAAAATGACTGTAGGGGAAAGCAGTCCCCAGTGCTAGTGCACACAGCCATCCAGAGCACCAGGCTGCAGCCTGCTTTCTGGCTAAGGCAGGGGAAAAGGCTCTGAAACAACTGCTGCAAGCAGTTTTCAAAGCCCTTCATCCTGAGGCTGTTTTCACTTGCCAGCAGCTCCAACCTGCAGTCTAAGCAAATGGGGATGAGCCAGGTTTATGGAAACTGGTTGCACAGTAGCAAGAAACTGTAACTGTACGTTCGCACTGACGTGACTGCTGCTTGTCTAAATAAGTCAGATTGGGCTTACTCACAGCAGGATAAATCCAGCTTGAGGATCTGGTCCTTCTCCTGTGTTCATTTTAGCCAGTCTTGGTCTCTTTGTGTGGAATTCATCCTAAGCGTATACAAGCTGACTTGCTGCAATGTACCTGTGTTTTTCTTAGCCAAGAGAGGGAGTGCTGAAAGCAGCAGGAATTAGAAATTACATATTTTATGTGCTCTAGTGAACATCCTTCAGAAGTCTCTGCCTTTGTTGCTGCAAGGGTGAGATCTCTTTGAAGGCAACTAACTAACATTAAGGCTTTTTTGCGACTCTTAGACAATCATCAATTCCATCTGGTTTGGCTATGATGTGAAGAAAGCAGTGGAAGAGCCCAGAATTCATGATCAGCTGTTTCCCAATATCACGGAGCTTGAGGAGCAAATAGAGGAGGTTTGTCTGGCTTGAGGCTGGGTTGTATATGAGCTTTTTGTGTGGTGCTGGTGTTGTATTGTTGGGAAGGCATGTGTGTGTAGAAAATCGTGATGTGTTGCCAAATTTCCTAGGTAAGCAGTATTAAAGCTGGCACAAGAGCAGTACTGGGTCACAGTGAGCTGTTCAAAATGTACTTTTAGTCTGTCATATGGTTTTAAAGCCTAATGCATTCAAGCATGAGCTGTATCTGAAACTGAGGCTATATTTCTTCCAGCTTTTTGGCTCGAAGTACTTGCAAAACAGCAAGGATACTATTTTGCTTCAGGGCCTGAAGCATCCAAACAGTCTAAATCAGGTGACCCTCAGGAAACTCATGTTCTGTTGTGCTACCTCCTCACAAATCCTGAAGTGCTGCTGCAGAGCTAGCAAGGAAGAATTCACAGAGGGACCCAAGAACAGATGTGAAAATATTCTCACAGAAAAGGTCTCTGCAGCACTGTCAGTCTGAGAGCTGATGGCAGGATTCACCTTGCCTTTGGGGACCCAGGAGTTGGACTTGATGATCCTAGTGGGTCCCTTCCAACTCAGATATTCTATGAAATGTTACTTCCAGCTGTCAGTCATTATACAAGTATGCTCTTTGACCTGAAGTCACGCTCTTTGACCTGAGCACACACTCAACACCACAAATGCCGCACCTTCTCAATTCCACCTGAAAACCAGTGCATCCTAGAAAGCAGAAGGAAGAAGAGAGACAGCATGTAGTTTTAGGAGACGTACCTAATACAGGCACTGTATGCTTGGGTAGTCATGGAGGATTCAGGTCACAGACTACAGCACATGAGCAGTTTCTCCTGTTGTCCTCATGCACTTCTGCATTTCAGGGTATAGAAGAACAACTAAAGAAGAGAAAACATGACACCACACGAGTAACTGGCGGTGCGGTTGTGCAAGCCATTCTCAGAACAGATGATGGATGGGCTGCAGCCTCCGATTCCCGGAAAGGTGGCTTCCCTGCAGGCTACTGACCTGGTTCAGCTCCTTTTTGTCAGTGATCTAGTGACACTGAGGTGTGTCTGGGGGGGAAGATCCTTTAGGTCTGCAACTCAGGGAATTCTCACAGGAAAGAGAACAAATTTGCCTGTGATTCTATTGACAGAGCTGGGACTGATGTTCTCAACAGCCATGCCTAATGCCACAGCAGTGTGCTAAGACAAACATGTCTACCAGGACATGACCTCATTGAAGAATCTGTTCTGCTTTGAAGAGTTTGATTCCTGCCTCCTCTCCATCCCACGAAGTCAGATTGGGTACCTAGTTTTTGAAGAAGGTCCAGCTCACCCAAGCTGCAGGAAGTGTTTTGTTTGCACAGTTTCAGCTACCACAGTTTCAGTGTCCCTGTCACAGCTAGAGAAGAGATTTGTTTCTTGTTGAGTAGAGGAGTTACAGGACCATGGGAACTGGGTTTTCTAAGTTACAAACTAATTGATCTGTGCCACAGTGGTGAGCTCAGCTCTAGCCTGGGATAAACCTTCACAAACTCACCACTATTTCTTTTAACAAAAGATGTTTCTGCTTTTCACTTCAGTTGATTAATGGAGATGGATGGGTAACTTGGGAAGTGGCTTCAAACTTTCTTATATTTCTGTTGAGAAGGTCTAAAGGGAAGATACTACCTGTAAAACTCTGAGCACAATTAAAATAAATAAAAACGGAGCCACATATTTTTCTTGCCTGCACAGTTGATATTGCCAAAAGGGATGGTGAGAGTCAGCATGAAAGAAGCTCTTTAGAGATTTTTCTCTTTTGTTCACTCCTTTGATGAAGCTATGAATTTAAAAGATGATAAAGTGTCCAAAACAAATTTTTCTCCAGTTTTCTTCCTACCACATCATACTGCAGACCTGGACTACCAGAGTCTGTGTAAATCAACCCTCTGAAAAAGGGAACACTGCAGTTACTCATTTGAAGGTAAGTTGTAGTTAATCAGGCAATGACCTCTCAGAAATCTGTTCTGATACAGAACAGCTAACAGTGTCTGCCGCTGTGCATGAGTGGATTTTGGTGTTCACCTACCAGCATGGACTATCATATCGTATTATATATCAGATCACATAAACTTAGCCTGAGATCAAAAAATGAGTGTTCCCAGATATTTGTACACTCCAGGGATGTTTATGAAATCTTGGAAACACAGGTGACAGTAAGTGATATTATCTATGTGCCTTGTTGAAACTTCCTGTCAATTTGTAAGAAATGTATTGAAGGAAAAAAAAAAAAGATTTTAGGCATCATGCACCCAATAGTTTTTGGAATTGAGGCGAGTCTAGTTTCAAGGTAGAAGTGATAGCTAGGTAGACCATGGTTAAATCAAGTGTTTATGACTGAGATTCACGTTTGCTTGTATCACTCCCACAAAACGAGTGGCTTTTACCAAAAGTACCCTGGGATGTGCACTGTGCTCCTTTTTCCTGAGCTGTTACTGATGAGGATGTGTTCAGTGGAACTAAGACAATGATTGTTAACAATGTAGTCATTGTGTTCCTGGAAGAATGTGTTTGGTTTGTGGCCAGACCTGTACACTTTGTTTCACTGAACTGTGACTTCCCATTCTTGGAATTCCATGATGGGTGTCAGTGGCAGGCTGCAGTTTAAATGCACTCTGCAGGGCATTTTAGGAAACTTACATGTAGATACAAGTTCATGTATGGAGCAGCATCAGCCAGTTTGCTGGAAATTCTTGTCCCTTTAAACCTAGGACCAGCTGAGCTCTTTCTTGATCAAGTGAGATCTGAGAAAAAAGCAAATAAAATTATTGCAAAGCAAAATAAGCTTATTGAAACTTTACACTTGCTACAGTTAGTCTGATGTACAACACAGAAAGCATGTGCTCTGAAACTGGGCTGTTTTCTGGGAAATGACTGTTGGACAAACACACATTTTGAAACAAGCTTAACTGCTGCTGGGCTGCTTCTAATAGTTCACCGTATAGAAGTCATACTTTCCTTCCTGAATTTGTGAGATCTAGTCAGAAAACTTCCCAGTTATAAATAACCTGTTTTACATGACTTCCCTTCTGGAGACCTCAGCTACTACCACAGCTAAAACCACTTCTGCTTTAAACAACTCTTACAAATGCATTTGAATTCTTTACTGGATTGTTTTGTTTTGTTTTAAGGTATCACCACAAAGGACTGATTTATAAAACTAAGCAGGACTAAGGCTTGCTCTTGCATTCTTTAATTTTTAAAGCAAATTACCCTATGCTCTAGTGTTTACATCTTATTGGACATACCTGTACACAGGGCACACTCATCTGCCTCCTGCTTTGATTCCACGTTCTACTGCTTACGCTGCATTGAGGCTCTCTGTGTGTCTGTGTGGTTCATACTGTAAACCAGATCGTATGCTGCAGGCCATTCAATGTGTCTAAATGTTCAGGTACAAGAAAAGACTTCTTCCTGCTTGTCTCCCGCCCCTTTGAATGTAACTGCCCCTTCTGCTTCTGAGCAGAGCCATAATGTCTTGGTGTAAGCTGCCAGGTATAACGCAGGGTGCAGAGAACAGGACATGTCACTTCAACTGGTTCCAGCAGATTTGAAAGGAAGCTCTAGCGCTTCAAGGCAATCCAGAGCATACCTGAGGGAGTTCATCTCCTTCATCTGTTCTGTGGCCTAGTCATACCACAGTTTCCACAGGCTCATCCAGCCTCTGGCAAGGGCTACAGGAAAGTGCCGAAACCAAGCTGCAAGAGACAAGTGGCATATGCCACTGTTCTCTGCACTGTTCTTCAGTTTCTTCAGCAGCTTATTGATTCTCCTGGATGAACAGCTCTTATTGCTTAAAGCACCTGTGTGAAAGTACTCTCTCAAACAACTGCTTGTGTGCTAAGCTAGGCAACAGGTTTAGAAGAGAAATTTCCAGACAGGTTTAAAAAAAACTTTATTAAAAATATAATTTAAAAACTTCATTTAGAAAATAGAGCATCTGTACAATGGTGCTTTAAAAGTCCATATAAGTTGACTAAGTAGAAAAATAATGCTCTCCTGTTGGCGTCGCCATGAACGGAGAGGGACCAAGCTGGACAACTCTTGACTGTTGCTGGGAGACAAGTTTCAGCAGCACTGAGGAGGTGGCAGGGCAAGAGCAGAGGTGCTGTTGGTGGTACAAATGCTCACCCTCATCACATGTTTTGCTAGTGAGGCTGCCAAGAGTGGAAGTCTCTGCTACAGTGAGAGATCTGCACACTCATTTCTTTCTGTCTTGCAAATGAAAGTTGTGACAGGCTTTAAAACTGCTTACTTGGCTCAGTTTCAATGCTAATAGCACAGTAGTGAAATTGCAGTGAGTGCTAGTCTACAGATAATATTCCCATGTCTTCGTGGTGAGAAATAGCTGTGCTAATAGTGCACTGAAAAGGTGATGATAGACTGCATCAGCTGGATTACAGAGGTGTGCTTTACCCTTTGGTATGTCAGAACTGAAGGGGATTAGGAAGCTGTTACTTTATGGCTTGTTTTCTCTGGTAGTGAAAAATGATGGAGCACAGTGCCTTGAAACTTACTGAGGAAAGAAGAACCACTCACTGTGTCTCTAGCCAGGCCATTCTTGGTTGCTTTTTGAAAGCTCTAAGTAGGTCTAGCTAGAAATAACTACAGCTCATGCTAAAGCCAGCATCTGGTCTAGCTAGTTTGTGTGGTTCTGAAATGCGAGCTCTACATGTTGTCTGGTACCCACAAGCATTTCCCCTGTAACAGCTCTGCAGTTGGGGTGCTATTTCTGACAACAGAACTAATGCATCCAGGAACTGGTAGCTGAGGTAAAGGAGTCATTAATGAAAGTAGAAAATTTAGGCAAATTATGTAAATTGAATATGGTTAAAAAAAAGATACCCCCTCCAAATGAGCAAATATATATATATATATATTCTGTATACAGATGAAGCTTATTTGTTTGTGTACTAGGAATACTATGGGCCACGTGGGAGCTGAGAACAAACATGTGGAAGGGGAGGGCTCTGCTAGTGCTCTCTGACATTGTCTCTGTCTCTTAAATAGCTGTAGTATTTTATCCTTGTAATCTTTAGGGAACAGTTGAGACTAGTTGTGGTAAACAAGGAGTTGGAGCATCTCCTTAGGCCATGGGAGAAGAGTGTTTTGAGACTGTTTGACAGCACGGCACCACTTCTCAACAGTTTTGGTGTTTGCCTGGCCAGGCAAAGCTCATGGCTACAAAAGAAGTCTTCACATTATTTATCCTTTGCATTTTGAAGTTATAAATCTTCCAAAAACAGCACATTTTTTTCCACTGCTATCCTCATCTGCCTTCCCAAACAAGTTATTTTCTGCAGGCATTGAGGAGGAAGAACTGGCGCAGACTGGGCCTCCCCTTACCACAGGCAGAGGTGCCTTTGGGAAGCTAAGCTGAGGCCTGTCCCTCCCAGGAGCACCAAATTCACATTGCCCCATGGGAGGCTTATTCTCATGGTAACCAGTACACAAAGTTGAATGGAACTTCAGCACAGTTACTCAGAGCTCACGGCATCCATCACTTCCTCAAGGCAGAGTATGCATAGCAGCAGGCTTGTGTTACGGTGCACTGATTTCATCTGCCACCTTTGGGAAAAGTAGGGGCTCCTCTGGATGGGAAAACCGAAAGGGTTGTGTGGCGGTTTGCTCTCTTCCCATTCCAAACCCACTCTCAAAGTCTGGATGCATACAATTTTATAATCCTGATCCCACAGACACTTCTTATAATCCTTATAACCAAAATAGTTACTTCATATTGCTGAGCTCCAGTAATAGGAAGCTTAGCATAGCAACAGCCTGAAAGAAACCAACTCTACTCTCCAGCAGGAACGGAAGATACAGCTGGGTCATTTCGCAGTGTTCCCAGTGAGTTTTGGACCTAGTTTCCTTTTGCACCTTCTATTATCTTAGTCTGAATAGCTGATCTGCTCAAGAGATATATTGTTCCATATATTGTGTAAGTAATGGAGTGTGTAGCTCTAAACAAGGCTGGCTGACCTGTCCTTGTATTGCCTGAGGGTGACTTGCAGTCTCCTGGCGCTAGGTGTAATCACAAGTTTGCCCACACTTTGGGAGGCATCCTGATGGGAACAGGCAATATTGGCATGCCAAAGCATGTTCTCAAAGTAGTTATCTCCTGTGGGTTTGACTACAATAGAACTGTGGTGGGATTTCTTGCTAATAACCAGCCGATTTCCCCATCTTCCTTTTATCAGAGTAAGCAGAGATGCATTTTCCTTCCTTTGAAATTCCCTGCACAACATTCAATGCAAATTGATCTTTCACTGCTTTGTGTCCTCTTCTCAGCAGGCCATTCCTAACATCCTGTGGGGAGTAGAGCAGAGAAAATGGAGTGAATGGGCATAGGCCTGAGGTCTTTGTTCTGCCAGGTGCGGAAATGAAGGATCTGTTTACAGCGTCAGGTTGAGGAAGATTCAAGCAAGAAGGAGGTTAGCTAGAAGCAAAATACAGATTACTGAGGAGCGTTACAGAAGCTAGCTCCTTCCCATCAGATGGAGAAGACAAGAGGATCCAAACGAGGCCACTCACCTCACTGAAGCGTTCCTCAAATGAGATGTTGCCATTGATAATATGCATGATGGGAGATGAAATGGCATCTTCCAAGTCGTAGCCAAACCACAGCTTGTTTATAACAGCCTGCAGTGAACAAATCCCACACTCACTGGAGATACTGAATAAAAACCTGGGTCACATGTTGCCTTCTTCCAAACTGGTATAAATCCAGACCAAATCCTGCCAGAAGGATTGTGCAAACCTGGACTATAAGAAGTCCCTCTAGCCCAAGTATCCTTTCTTCATGATGACCAACAGTAGAAAAAGCAGGTGGGACTGACCGTGGCTGGAAGTCTGGGATGGCTGAAAGAGGTGGTGGCTGCTGTGGGTTCTTCCACCTTCTCCATTCCTGGTCCCTCCTGACTGAAGTACAATGCAACAGCAGAGCTAAACCTACCCCTCCCTTTGCCACAGAAATGCTAAAAGCAAGAAGGCGAGGGTAGAATGACTCTGCAGCAGGCTCTTTTCACTGTTGCCTTCTACTTAGCAGTACTAACAGCAGCAAACTGATTTATTTCATTAAGTTATGTGTGTTTTCTGCTTGCTTGTTGAAAGCTCTCACTGTGCAGTACCTGTTCACTCACCATAGCAGTGGCGCTGATAATCCGGGCTCCACCTGCTCCTCCAATCACCAGCATGTCTCCCGTCTTGGAGATGAGAATAGATGGCACCATTGCTGAGGGAGGCCTCTCTCCTAGAGCAGAAGCAGAAAGTCTTATTCTTCCCATGTGGCTGGTGAGAGCACTGGAGGGACACACAGGTTTATCTACCTCATTCTTCTTGCATTCCCCATGGAAAACCATGCTGCTGTTCATTCCTCAAGAAGTCCATGTTTTCCCAAAATCTAAATTCCTTGTGCTGAGACTCCATCTCACAAGAAACTGCTCCTTTATGGTGCAGGTTAAATAGGAAACACCTATTGGTGCACCCTGCAGCATACGCAGGAGTTGCTGCAGTTCATCAGACCCAGATAAGGAACAATTAGCAGCAATTATCAATTGCAGTACTGATGTCCTTTTTATTTGCAAACCCAAGGGAGCTTCCATCAGGGACAGCTTATTTCACAAAGCACTGCCTCTGTACTGTGCTACAGAACTCAGTGTAAGCCTTTCCTGACTGTGCATGTAACTGCAGGTGTTTTCATAGAGAGGCCTAAAAATCAGCTAGTTTGTCTTAATAGTGGTTTCTTTATTTGTTCCGTACTTTCCCTGTCCATCCATGAAAAGCTTCTGCAATTTTTTTTTTAAATCTCTGCTTTCCATCATCAGAAGCCAAAACTCACATTTTCATGTAACTGCATGAATAGACACAGACACACTACAGGACTTTATCCTTTGTTAGTATGAAACAATTTTGCTAACATACTAACTTAGGGAAAAAATAAAAAATAAAAAAGTACCTACAGTGTGTAGATAGTCCCTGCCCAGTTTCCTGCCATGATTCTCCATCTCCTGGCCTTGTGTATTATGTTGAAGTTCAGAATGCTCACCTGGATTAATGCTTCTGTTCACTATGCAGAAATCAGCAAGTTCATTATTTAAAATGATCCCAGTTCGGTTAGAATACACAAAGGAGCCAAACCTGCAGGGAGGAAGGAAGTAGCCTTTCAGTGACCAGTGCTCACTCATTGTGGATGATACTAGCCAAATGTGACACCCTCTGGCGTTACCCCTCCTTTCTGCCAGGCTGCAGCCACCTTAATTAAGGTGTTCAAAAGGTATTTGTGCTGCAGCCAGAGATGTGGGGATTTGCCCAACCCACAGAGCTTGGCAAGTTACATGTTTGTCAATTGTGATGTTGCCTTGGGCTGATTCTGAAAGACCTTCGCTGTCACATGAAAAAAGCATTCACAAGCAAGAAACTGTCTAAAGCAGTGAAGCCCAAGGGTTGGTGGGGTTTGTTTGTTTTGTTTTTCTGTTAAGCAGCCCTTGCAGATACCCTGCGAGCCTGATACAAGACCTATATTACTCAAGTAAAAACCAGGCCCTTGGCTACTCACGGGTAGTTGATGGTACTGGTGGCAGACACAGCACTGCCATCTGCAGCAAGCACAGAGATGTGGCTTGTGCCCATACTTTTATATCTGTGGTTGTAGGTGGACTCCCACAAGTTGTAATAGCTGAGTGGATGGTCACCAGAAGCATTTATTTTCATTCTGACGTGGCGAGCGGTCTCGTCAGACAGCAGGGTCGCCGCAGTCACCTGCAATCACAGCAAGGACACTGAGCCAGTATCACAAAAGCACAAGCATGTCTGTCTTTGGACACACAGGAGCCTGGGGGATTCAGCTTCAAGGTCAAAGCTCTGAGGCCTACACTGGCAGTGTTTAGCTCTAGTTTGAATTCTCACACCAGTCTCATCACAGAAATTGAAATAAATTCAATACTAAGGCACCTCATCATTAACGTGACCATGTGCACATTCTTTATCAGGCAAGTGAGCACCAGCCTACCATGGAACAGAAACTGCATCCAAACCAAACAGCCTAACCCTACCTCTGCCTTGTTATCATGGTTTTGGCTAGGATAGAGTTAACTTCCTTCATGCAGGCTCATATGATGATGTGTTTTGGATTTTTGATGAAAACTGTTGATAGCACACCAATGTTTTAGCTGTTACATAGTGCTTACACAAAGTCAAGGACTTTTCTTCTTCTCCTGCTGCCCTGCCAGCAGCAGGCTGGGAGGGACACAGACAGCACAGCTGGCCCAAACTAGTCAAAAGAATATTCCATACCATATGATGTCGTGCTCAGCAATAAAAGCTGTGGAAAAGAAGAATGAAGTATGTGTGGGGACACACTCAGCATGATGGCGTTTGCCTTCCTAAGAAACCATTACATGTGATGAGCCCTGCTTTCCTGGAAGTGGCTGAACAGCTGTCTGCTAATGGGAAGTGGTGAAATGAATTCCTTCTTTCGCTTTGCTTACACACACAACTTTCACTTTACCTAGGAAACTGTTTTACCTCAACCCACGAGTCGTTTCACTTTTACCTGTCTGATTCTCTCCCTCATCCCACTTGTGGAAAGTGAGTGCATGCCTCTGTGGTACTTAGCTGCTGGCAGGAATCAAACCACAACACTTGGCCAGCTGAACAATGTTACTTGACTAACAGTTCTAAGGAATTTCTTTCCTTCTGTGACTGTGAAGCACGAGGGTGTCAGAGCATCGCTTGTTTCTGTAGCATTGTGCTGGTGGGCATGATAGTCTGGACAATAGGTAGCTTTCCTGACGGCTTACCAAATAGGCTAAAAATGAGTTTGTGACAATGCGGATTTTGAAAACAAACAAACAAGCAAACAAACAAACAAAAGTGTAGAAGACTGCTCCTCTGTCAAGCAGTGCAGAAGAGGCTGCCAGTGCTGTGCGTGTCTGTGGCTACTTCTTACTCCTGTGCACTTTACCAGCTCACCTGAGCATCAGAGAAGGCTGGGTCATTCATATGGGGTCTCAGCATATTGCTGAACTTCAAGGTCTCTGCAATGACGTGGTAGGTTTCTTCCTTAACCTTGGGTGTTGCCAGTGATGCTTTACTAAATTTGTACCCTAAAGAGGAGGATGAATTCATTTGGTTAACAGATGCACAGTAATGTTTCTTCAGGAATTTTGTAAAATGTTTAAATGAACCTTGTTTTCCCATCCTAGTTCTTACCAAGTGTCCCCTACACGTTAGCAGGATGTGGGCAGAAATAACTGAGTCCTACTTTCCACTGTGACTTCAATTCTTCTTGAAGTCCTGAGAAATCGGGTATCCTTTTGGCCTTTGTAACAGCTATGGTGATGCTGACACACTATAAGAATGAGCTAGCTCATCATCCTGCTGCATAGCATGATCATACTGCTTCTTTGGGGCCCTCTGTGGCTCACCAACACCCTTTCTGCCTAATATTTATTTACTGTTCCAAATCAATGCTCTTTGCAAACCTCTTGCAGCTCCTTTTCTCTTAAGAATTTACCTTCCAGTATCTTGAGGATAAACAGGAGCACAGCACCTCCCATGGGTGGTCGAGGAGAAAACACCGTGGTGTTATTATTCAGGGTAATGTTCAGAGCTGAAGACACTTCTGCTTTGTATGCCTTAAGGTCCTCCATTGAGAGAACAGACCCTTCAGTGGAAAACCAGAGGAACAGCTGGTGTTAGCATGTTAACAGAGACTTTTGGTAGGTACTATGGGGATACTGTCAGGGCCTTGGTAAGATTTCTAAAGAGCCATCCCTGTATATTCTGAGTTTCTTCCACCAAGCACAACAATGTCTTCACATGTCCTCAGCTACTGCCAGACCCCAGGACATCACAAAGCCTAAGGGAACTGGAGAAGCCAGTGCATGCACACTGTGGGTAAGTGCGTGGCTCTCATACCTTCTTCTGGGCCTGAATTACAACAGCTAGGGGAAGGTGGCCCCTTCCCATGCCAGGTATCACTTGGAGAAGTGACAAGTAAATGGCATGTGTTAGCTATCCCCAGTAACTCCTCATCGTTAGACAATTGCTGGGGCCTGTCAGTTCTTATTAAATACAGCTGTTACCTACCAGCCTTCTTGAGGTCCTCCACCAGGGCCTGTCCTATCTGTCCCTCATAAAATTCTGTAGCTCCATTTTCTGCCACAGCTCTCAGTGTCTGCTGCAGTGCTGGCCACCTGAAGGTCTCTCCACGGTTCAAAAACCTTTGACCATCACATATCAATGGGCTGTTAAAGGAGAACATCCATCAGTTTACAGCATGTGCTTATTCTCTTTCCTACCCAAGGTTGATTTGGTTTATGTATTTTGCATACTTTCCAAGATAGTGCTGTTCTGTCTATATGGAGAAAAATGCTTCTCAGCTGATTCCTACCCACAACACCAGGCACGTTTTACCCTAGACAAAGTTTCCTCCATGGGACTAACACTTTGACCCTGGCTTCTCCAAATGAGTGCCTGCTGCAGGACCCTGCTGTCAGGGAACAATTTCCATACAGATGGAGGCAAGCCACATCCATCCAGCTCCTCCTCATGAGGAGATTTGCTTAGCAGAAAGTTTTGCTATGCCAAGCCCCTCTAAACTGGAAACCAAAAATGTAAAAAAAAAGTTGTTGACAGTAAAAGATTTCCAAAAGAACATTTCAATTATTCTCTCTCTCTCCATAGCAATTATTTACTGGGCAGCTGCTGCAGCAGCAGCCTGCTTCGTGTCTGAGCTGGGGGAACAGTGGTCCTTACACTTGAGTTTAATTCAGGAGACTTACCACAGGTTTTGTCCGTGTTTGGAGAACAATGGGTGATGGATCATTTTCTCCATAACTAAGGAAACAACAAGTGGCTCTGAAAGGAGCTTGATGGTTGGTTCAAACAGAGCTTTCCACGGCAAGCGGCCGTATCGTTTATGGGCTTCTTCATACCCACGAATTTCTCCTGGTACAGCAATCCATTGGGAACCTGAAGAGCAGAACGGCAGCGTCACACCCAGTAAGTCACTGGCCTGTTGGTTTCGCCTCTCTAAATGCATGTCAATGGAAGTGTGGATATATAGAGGCAGAACTAAGTCTGCTAAAAGTCCTTATCTCAACTTGTGAGTTTTTTCTTTCTTTCCAGCATACTTTCTTCTTCCCCTTTTCTTCTAAGGAGGGGGAGTGAGAGAGTGGTTGTGGTGGAGTTCAGCTGCCCAGCAAGGTAAAACCACCACCAACTGCTGGGAAATGAGTGTTTTGGGAAACCTGATCTTGGAATGTAGACTTCCTGTGAAGAGTAATTACGTAGTGATTTCTCCTCATGATCTGCTCCCCACTCCCTCGGTGGTGCCTGGATGCCAATTTTACTACTAAACAGGAATTTTATGGACTTCATTTTTTGTGTTTTTCAAAAATCAGTCCAGGAAGAACACAGGTAACTGAACAGGACTTCAGACAAACAGCAAGGTCCCCAGTTCCCCCACCCTGAGTTTTGTGCCCCCACCACACACTATGAGGGCACACAGACCTGTTTCTTTACCTGTTTCTGGAAAAGAACAGCCAGAAAACAAATCACGATGAAACCCTTGTGGGACTGTTTCACGGGCATTGATCACCTCAACTGTTCCTAGAAAAAGAGAAGGGAGAAATGCGTAACAGACTCTTCCTGAAGGCAGGTGAACCTCATGTGTTGGGTCAGCTCAGCAGACTGACCAGTGCCTGCCTAGAGGCACCAAAGATACAGGGACAAGACCAGTGCCTGTGTCCAGGCAGCTGGGCCATGCTGCTTCACAGCTGACTTGCAGTTTCCTGCACTTCTTGTACAGGTGGGATGTGTCAGAGACAGAATATGAGCCTGGTGGTTGGCTATTTTCCAAGAGATGGCGAGTTAAGGTTATCATGTTTGTAACCTCTATGTATCAGGAAACTTGAAAGGAAAAAGAAACACTCAATATATTCTTGTATTTCACGTCTAACTGTTCCTCCTCCTTCTCTGCCTTCTATCTCTCCTTTTGTGTCTCAGGCCACAGAGCCAGCTGTGCTGCAGGAATCCATGGTGCTACTTGTACGAAGCACGTGAGCCATGCATGGCCATGCAAGGCTCTGTGCAGCAGCATAATTCAGGTAGCAGAAGAGAAGGGTTGTTGATAGGAGGAGAAATTACATGGCTCTGCCAAAAGGGAAAAAAAAAAAAAAAGGTGCTTTGCCAAATTATGCTATTGCTTAAGATAAACCCAAGAATTTCTACTCATGACTCTCTGATACTATTTGGAAGGGTTTTTAAAATTATGATATTGTTACTGTGCCCATTGTTGATTTGGCTATCAACATCTATAAGCTCTGGGGGCTTGTAGTAGCCAACGCCGTTTAAAAACAACAACAACAAAACATTAAAAACATAAAAGCAGGAACACAATAGCACCAGGGGTTAAGGCAAACGTGGAAAGGCTTCCAGCAGACCCTGCAAATTGCTAGATTTTGATTTTCAAAAGGAAGATGCATCTCACAGGGCAGGAAGCCTCAGTGCTGCTGTGGGAAGTCCAACCCACGCCAGTGATGGCAGTGTGAGGAGCTCCCCCCCCAGCAGCCGGTGCTGCCTGAGCTGCTGGTGCAGGACAAAGCTCTGAAATCCCAGCCAAGGGCTGAGCTGAGGCAACGACAGCCCCAGGCTGCTGCCTGCTCTGCCAGCACACGGACCTTTCCCTGCTCCTACCTGCCTCCGTGGCAGTGCTCCCCCCAGGTGGCAGCTCGGACAGCACCGTTCACACTTTGCTGCACTGGTCAGCTGTATGACACTGAAATATAATTTCTTTGCGAGGTGAAGAAGGGACAAAGTCATTTCATTTGAAATCCAAAGCTGCTTCCCCACCACCACATGTTCTCACTGTGAACAGCTGCACTTTTCAGTCCTGCTCTGCTTATGGAAAGCTCTCAGGATAGCTCCTGTAATCAGGGCTTTGGGTTAAGAGCGAAAGCGCATTTTGTGTGGTTTTCAATGGAGCTTTTATATATATATATATATATATATATATATATATATAAATCTCTCAGAGAACATGAAGGATTCTGACATGGCAGCTAGGTGTTTGCAGAAGACGAGGCACCATGGAGCGTCCAGGGCTGGCCCATACCTGTGCTGGCATTATAGATAGTAAATACGACCCCGCCACCCAGGCCTGAACTCTGAGGGTTCATCACCGACGTGCAGATCAAACCAGCGATGGCAGCGTCCACAGCTGTGCCTCCACTTTTCAGGATGTCCCTGTGGTAGAAAGGGAGGAAAAAAAGCCAACTGACACGAGCAGCCAGTGTTTGGAGAAAACTGTTGGTATCTATGTGGGGTTGGAGAGCGTGGAAAAGAGCATTCCACTGTGGGAGCAGGAAAGAAAACTCAGTGGGAAGGAACAGAGCATCTCCAGGAGGGAAAGGCAGCTGGGGCCACAGCTGCATGAGGCTGGTCTGCCTATGGGCAAGGAGTCATGGGACGGAGGGAACTGCATCCACTCCCAAATGCTCTTGACAGAAGGGGACAGGAAGGAGCTCCCAGACATGGGAGGACACACACTGCAGGGGGAAGAGCCTTGCACATGCTGGGAGCCAAACAACTAATTTCTGGCACCACGCCTACCATCCCCACTAAAAAGGCATATGCTGGTCAACAGGCCAGGGGCTCAGAAGCAGGAATGATGGGTCTGTGTGAAGGAAACTCCTGAGACTCAACATCTCAGCACAAAACTGAAGCCTTACTTCATTGCTCCCACAATGTGTCTTGGGCTTATGGGATATCAGTACAAAAATCCCCTTTCCCTCCCCACAGATCCACAAATCAAAAACCAAAAACAAACAAACAAATTAAAAAAACAACAGCAACAACAACAACAACAACAACAACAACAAACAAACACCAAACAAGCAGAAAAAAAAGTTTCTGCCTAGGCACAGCCACCCCAAAGAACACCCACGGGATTAAGGCAGCCTCATGCAGTTGTTCCTGCTAGAGAAACGTGTCTCAACAAACTGTCCTTCAAGAACAACCATTAAAAAAAAATCTTTTCCTTGCAGTGGAAATGGGGTGGGGTGAGGTTTCCTCATGCAGCCTGCCAGTAGCCAGCCCTGCTATTTGCTAGGAAGGTTTCTGACCGCTCATGTTGAAGCATTGCTTTGACAAATCCAGAAGGGAAAGTGGAATAGTTCATTAAGCGGAGAGTAACTGCTCCCAGAGGCTGTGACAAGAACACAGCACACACAGGCACTGCTGTTTATTTTACAGCCATTGATGTCTTTGGGACCTGCAGGCACTGCGAACAGGATGCTGCCCATAGACACACTGATTGTGCCTTTCCTTTGTTTAAGTGCCCTTGGAACGGCTGCCTGCGAGGAAATGGCATGGGGACAAATGGGAAGAAATGAAACCGTAGGGAACCACGGGGCTTTCTGTTTGTGGTTCTGAACAGCTTTCAACCTCCTAGCAGCAAGCTGCTCCCTGGCTGTCGCCCTGAAAATGGTGACTGAGGCTCAGGGCTATGTAACAGAAGGCCCTGGAAGCATGTTAGAAAGCTGGGGAAAGAGTGGAGAGGAGAAGGACCACTACACCGGCCCAGGACAGTGCTCCCCAGAGCCCTGCAGGTTATGCCCATATGCCTGCTACACTGCTACTCCAAAGGGTAGCAACAATTAATAAATTCATTTAATATTTGTGCACCTAGATGGCCTGTTTCCAGCCTCTAGATTATGCTAAAATCATGTGGTGTTCCCAAATACTTGTTTAGTGTGGGCTAAATACCCTTTAACTACGGCGAATGTAGTGCCATATGGACAAGGCATTCCAAACCGGAGAGTTTCTTAACATGAGCTTATCCGTGCTCTTTTCCTCCAACATTCCCACTCAGAAACAGAGGCAGAATAACACAAGCTAGGTAAACTCCAGCTTGCAGCTGTGCCTTTGGCTCTCACTGAGATCAGTGAGGACAGAAGAGGTGCCAGTCTCAGCAGAAAAGGTCTGTCTGGCTGCTAAAGTAGCAGGCTTTCAAGTAGCTAAGACCTGGACTGTAACTGCCATTGATGAAAGGGACACAAAATCCCCCAGAGCATCAAGGAGCAAGTGAGAGAAGACATTCATTGGCCAGTGGACTTCAGCAGCACTGCCAGCATGGACACATCCTGCCTGGCATGTCCCAGTGCTTATTTGTTAGCTCTCAATTGCTCCATCCTGCCAGCTGACCCAATAGTTTTCAGATGGGTCGTGCCCAGGATGTGGCTTTGTGAGTGCCTCAGCATGACAGAAAGCCAGAGATGGTCTTTATTGTTCCTGTCTGTGCCTCGCGCAGCGGGGCCCCGATTCTTGGCTGTGACTCCTTGGTGTTACTGCAACACAGAGCAGAAACAACGCCAGAAGGCAACACAGAGACACCTTTTCACAGAAAAGCAAAGCATGTTTTGCTTTGTTCTTGGTCACTACCTCTCACTAAGCACACTCTGCAATATAAACATGATGACAAGAAAACCAGAATTTCCAGACTGATCTGAAAGTGCTTTATGTTCCTGTCTACTGCAGAGCAGCTGTTTGTCGCTGTCACCTCTGGTAGCAGATATCACATCTAACCACGTGCACTCAGGCCTGTTTCTTGCCCGAGGGAAGTAGGGCTTTCCAGGTGAGGTGCCTGCTGCATTTCAGCGAGCCCCATGGGACGGAGAGCTGCGGCTTCCCACCTGCTAGACCCGAGTGCAGCACCTGAAACAGCTCAGTATGGGATGGGCTGTGTGATGCTGGGCTTGCTGCTTTGCCAGCAAGCACTGTTCCCCATAGAAAGCTGAGATTTCTTCCCCAAACTAGGCATTATATCGGCTCCCCACAGTCTAGCAGGAAGCACCAGGTTACACAGACGCTTCTGGGAGAGCTCAAACACCACTGATGTTTCCCAGACTCTGGGGAGATGCACATGCCTGACGAGTTTGTCATTGACATCTCAGCACGCCTGGGTCCCACAGCACAGAAGAGATAAGGAAAAAGAAGCCTAACAGTCAGGCATTTAGCTCAAGATCAGAAGCCACTGATCCCGGCAAGGGTAAAGCCAAATCCTGGTCACAGTTATTAACAAGACTTCTTTTGAGCTGCTTTGCTTTTCTACCTGTGAAGCCTGGTGTGTGTTCCCATGATCAAAGCAGAGTCCAGGGCCCATAGCCACACTTTGCTACCTGCAGACTGGATCCCAGTCTCAGCAGCTTCCCATTCCCCCTCCAGCCCCTCTGATGACTGAAAGACAAGGAAAAATGTTCTCTGAGCTGGCTCTTGGCATGTCACACTCAGCTTCCCATGTCTGCATTCAGCCAGAGCTCTGCCACTTACTTGGAAGTGATGCCTGGGGAATTTAGGGCCATTATGTCTTTCTTAGCCTGCCAGAGTGGTGGAGTACCCCCTGTCCCATTCAGTTGCTTCCTTCATTTGGATCACTGCTACAACTTGTTTAATTATAATGCAAAACCCCAGAGAGACACATAACCCTTCAAGCAAAGTCTGGTACCTCATCAGGTATCTCTAGAGACATCTTAGCACTACAGCTGACAAGATCTGATAACAATGCATTTTGTCCAATATCCTTCCTGCCACATAGTTTCAGCTTTAGGGTTTGGCCATTAGCTGTGTTTTCCTAAAGATAGGAGCAGAAATGGTGTGTCCTTAAAGAAGAGGATGTTAACAACCAAGTCCAGCTCCAGCAGCACTGAAACAATGCTTCACCTGCCCAGGAAGGGTGAATACTGGTACTTTCCTCACACCCTCCCTGCAAGAAAGATGAGCATTGCTGGGCTGTAGACCAAGTCTGCAGTTCTGCTCAGCTAGAAGGAGCCCTGATGCCATATTATATGCACTTTAAATGCTTAAGTTTTAAATTATATATATATTTTTCTCTCTACTAAAAAAAGCTGGGGGCTGGGATGAGACCACCCATTAATTGCATCAGAGTTGCCTGCCTAAGATTTATGAAGAGCAAAAGCAACAGCTGTTTCTATAAAAAAGGGGTCAGCTGCCAATTTAAAGTGATTAAAACACAAGAAGAAGAGAAAACAAATCCTTTGGGATATAAAGATTTTTCAAAAATGCTGCTGAGCCATCACTGAACAGGGTTTTTGCAGCAGATCCTCTTCCTTGAATAGTGTCCCAGGGAAAAAAAATTCCGACTGTTAAGTTCTCACCCTCCCACCGCGCGGCCCCCCAGGCGGGTCACTGTTCCAGAGGATGCCAGTTCCCAGGGCTTGTGCTAGGCTACGCTGGAGGAGTGAGACCAGAGGTGGCTGCTGGGCCAGGTCAGGTCAGCTCGCCTCTCTGCAGCAAATACTGCTGGGAATGAGCAGTTTTCCTGAATTTCTCCGTGTTCTCATGCTGGCTCTTGCTTCTGCCATTTGGGAAACAAATGGATGCAGAGCAGTGGCTGGCAGAGTTCAAACAGCGTCTTGACAGGGTATGTAAAGCTTTTTGATGGAAAATGCCTCCTCCGTTGCCAGGTAGGAACAAGAGGCTCAGAGCTAGAGGTGAAGGTGGCTTTGGGTATGGCTTGCTGCCAGGGCAGTTGCCTCCTGCCTCCTCATGGCTTCTTGACATGAGGACAAATTACTTAGGCACACTCACCAGTTGCATAATATTGCTTTCGGTCCCCAATCTCTAGCAGTAAAACCATCTGCAGCAAAGGGCCCGACCTCATTCAGCACTGTGATTCATGAGCCAATAGCAAGTTTGGCACAGGACCTGCCAACAAGGATGATGACGCTGGAGGCTTCCCAAGATTGCTCACTTTCTGCACGGAGCCAAAAGGGTTGCATAAAGATTTCAGAAAGCTCAACCTTACATAGCCCTGGGATACACAAACACCATCTCCAGAGATAGAAAACCCAAACCTGAAGATGACAGCTGAGCACAAATTAAGAAAAAGCAGCAAACGGGAGCGGGGAATCTGTTCCCTGCTCTCCTTCTTGTACTAATGAATTAGAGTGGCAAGGTTCCCCAAGCATCTTGAGGTGTCTTCCCCAACCCATCATCCCACTCATTATAAGACACTATTGCTCTTAGAGCAAGAGGTTCAGTTCTCGGTATATCAATTAAAAGCTCTGTAAAAAGAGCACAAAAATTACATATTAAATGGCAGACCCTTAAGCCAACGCAGAGCATGTGATGCCCCCAAAATCTCATTACTGCTAATGACAACTCACAGCAAATTGGACAGCAGAAAATGTTGGGTTTCATTTTTTGTAAAGGAAATTTTTGATTTTGATTAAATTTTGATTTTGATTAAGTTAAAACAAAAAAAAAAGGAAGTAGGTTAGAGATTAGGTGCTGCTTTTAACTTGCAAAACTTCAGGCACTGTACCAGTGTGATTGGTTTTGTGTTCGTCCTGCACTGGAAGTTCTCTGAGCATCCCCCACATGGATTTCTGGGGGCTGGGGGGGATTTGCAGGGTGAAAGAGGTGGCTGGGGCCAGCCTGGGGGGCTGGCAGAGAGAGGGACTGCAGGCTCTGTGCAGGAAAGCAGGGACAAAGCAGCGCTGTTGAATCTCTCTCTACTTTTGCCTTTAGGGACTGTTTGAAATTATTCCTGCTCTCATCAGTGGGGCAGGCAGGCTGACAGGTTCAATTATGACATGTGGTTTTCATTTGACTAAAGCTTTACCATATCCAAGCCACAAAGCCTGATTTTTTTCCCATGGTGCTGTGGAGGCTGCTCTTTTCCTTTATGTCTGTCTCCACTAAAAGCATTCAGTAATTACCAAAAATGAGATTGAGGAAATGTGTTGTTTTGCTTATTTTACTTATTTTTAAACTCCTCTACAAAGTTTGTTAGAAAGCTCTTGAGTGTGCACGTATAAAGGCAGCAGTGGTTTGTTTCCAGTTCAAACAATTCACTCTAATTTGACAAAGCTGGTTGCCTTGAAGAAAAAAAAAATTAAAAAAAAAGGAAAAAAAAAAAAAAGAATCTTCATAGTTTTTATTTTAGATATATGTGGGTGTATTATATGCATATAATGTGTATATATGTATGTGGTCAACAATGAACTACCCAGCTTTGGTAGATTAATTCTCCTGTGATTTCTCAGCAGTTATAGGGGAAATGAGCCTGTTCCATCCTGGAACTGCAGGGGTTATGCACAGCTTCTCCCCCTCCAAAAAAAAAAAACCACCTGCTTATCATGATTTTGGGTCCCAGAAAAAAAATTAGGGAAATGATTATTACCCTTGGCAGTCAGTGCTCCCCAGACAAGACCAACAAAGAGAGATGCCATGTACTGCCTCAAACATAGAGGATATGGGAGAGGAGTGAGGTGGCTGAGCTGCAGAGACAGGACTGGGGTGGAAGAGAGCCTGTAGGGTTGAAAAATTTGGGAGCAGGGCTAAGTGGGGTGGCTGCACAAGTTGGGAGGATGAGAAGAGCAAAAAGAGTGACTGCATGGGCTCCAACACCAGCTCAGGGAGAGGGGTACATGTGTGAAGGAGCAGCCACAGAGCTGGGCGTGAGGCAATTAGGCAGAAGAGAGCATCAGCACAGGTAGCAAAGGGCCCAGCATGGACTCAGGAATGGCTGTACAGGTCCCTGTTGTGCCAGCAGGAATCTCAACAATTATGATTGTTAACCTAACTCCCCAGCTGTTACATCAGTCCAAGTCCAAAGAGACAGTGTAAAAACTTGCAAATGTTTGCATAATTGCAGAAAGAGTGAAGACCTAAATACAGTTCTTAGTAAGAAAAACCCCTAATTGATTATTTTTATATACTTCCTCCCTCATGATTTTGAGAGTTTACATATTTCTGAACAGAAGAGTCAACAGCGCTGTTTTAATCTCAGAAGCACTCAACTGACTGGGCAGTGTCTGGGAAGGCGCTGGGGCTGAGCACAGAGGATGCATGGCTTTGCCCAACTCTCTGTTGCTGAAGTTAAGTGGGAAATGAAGTGGGAGCACCCAGGTGGCAATAGAAGGGCCCAGTGGCTAAGAAATATAGGCTCTGAGAAACTAGATTTTATTGCTTCTGCTGCGACAGAATTCCTGTGTGAGGCTAAAATCTTGTTCAGCCAAGATTAAGGAGGAGGACACTCTGTGCTCCTCATCTGGTGCTCCCATGCAGACCCACGGGGCAGGCCTGCAGAAGCCCTCACCCCACAGGCACAGGGGACATCACTGACAGATATACGCCGAGCACCATGTGCTGCTCTCTGAAAGGCAGAAACCATGGTCAAAGCAACTCTCACGCAGCATCCATGCAGTGTTATTTCTGTGTTAGGCTTCCTTGCTTATACAGCTGAGATAACATCATTTTCTCCCCCACTGCTGTGAGAATTAATTTAGTGGTGACTATCGTGAGATAGCTGAGACATAGAGATATAACACCACAGAAAGGCCTGGGGGAAAATGAACAAGACCACACACCATATAGAGCATGCAGTACGCTTCCCCCAACGAAAAGACGTCCTTTCCTTGTAAGTTACCACTGTGGGCCAGTGGGGACAAAGAAAGAAATAGGACAGTGACAAAGAAAAGTGTAGATGTTAGCCAAATCACAAGCTCTGCTGCAGACGAACATGTATGAACCATTTTCTTTTTATTATGGTCCATTGAAGGAACAATAACAGGGAGAAGAGCACATAAATCTGGTTTATTCCAAGCATATGGACACCATTAAATGAGCACAAAGGTTCCCAAGAAAGTCTGAATGTGCAAAGCAGGGGCACAGCAGTGTAAAAGCAGAGTAGAGCTAACCAGCAAGCAGAAGATGTGTCTAGAGCCAAGGTGAAGGAGAAGAATGGACTTGGCTGGGGAGATCCAGAGCACTTGGCAGGACAGGTAGAGAGAGATGATCTATTTGGAGAAGCAGGATGTGATGTTCAGGCTGGGGAGAAGGGGAAAAACTGTGTGATGGGAAGCTGGGGCAAGGAGAGAATTTTGAGGGGATCACTGGTGAACTATCTGTAGAGAAGCTAAGGTGGTCTGTCAGACCAGAGGGACTCCACAGACCTTTCCAGCACAAGTGCGGAAGGTGCAGCTACAGCGATGGTTGAGGCTACCGAAGCAGGTGGAGCTTCCTGCAGAGAGATGGGAAGGAGACAGACGACTGCCCAGCAGCAGTAGCCAGGTAGCCACAGCATCTCAGATGTTGACTTGATTACACATTTCTGTGGCTCTCATTTCAGTGCCCTCCAGCTGATTCCACACTACTTCAAGTTAAAAACTGCAATAGCTACAAACTGCTGCAATTTCTCCAGCAGATTCTTTGAGTAGTCTGATAGTTTTCTCTATTTTTATTACTATTAATTTAAAAGATCCTTCTCTTTTTCCTCTGAGGAACTAACTTGTGGTGTAGCATAAAAAAAAATCTCATTTCTTGACACCCATATAGCCACAATACACAGCTACTCACAACTTCTGTGTCAGCATGTCACTGCACAAACCACACGTGGAACACGGCAAGTGTGGTGCAAAGACATGGGCTCTTGTCTCACTCCTCCAGCCTCAAGGCAGAGCATACAGCTCCAGCATCCATGTAGCCTGTGAAGGTTTAATGTTCCTTCCTTCTACTTTCATGTATGCAAGTGTTAAAGAATCGAAGCAACAGCACTAGTAAAATAATAAAGTAAGAGTTAAAATGTTTGAGAGAAAACTTGTTATAAAAGTTGTTAAACTGAAGTGTTGCAACCTGGGCAGCTGGAGGATTTTCTTACGTCTATATCTTTCCTTCCAAGCAACGTAAGTATGTCTTTTGTACTTATGCTGTCTCAGCTGACTTTCAATTAAACCTACTCTTTGCTTTCCAATACAGTGTATTTCCTGATAGCAGATATACCTGCTGCAGGCTTTGGTCCAGAAATGCACACCCTAAGGGCTGGGCTGCCCACTCCCCTTTACTCACTCAGTGTGCCTGTTTTCCTTGCCTCTGCTGAAGCCTGGCTGCAGCTCTCTGTGAGCTCCTCTCACTTCTTCCTTAGATGATTTCCAACTTACCACCATGAAGTAATCAGTTAATTTCCTGCTTCCCCTGTTAAAAACAACCTTGCATCTGTATACTATAAATATTTGTACCTTCCCAAAGGCCACTTATGTGACATTAGATATTTAAGATAAGCATCAGTTGCAGACACAGGTCTCCATCTGCTCCCTGAGCTGCTCCACTGCCGACAGAAAGCACCCAGGGAGCAGCATTGCTCCTCAGCCCCACGGGTAGGGATGGAGCAGAAACCCAGCTCGCTCCCATATTCAGCATGTGTGCCTGTCTGCCCGTCCAAGTCCATGACGTACGCAAGGCGCAAAGTGACAAATGGAGAGGTCTGTGTACATACCGGCCGATGTTAGAGCAGGTCTCGGTGTCAGCAGCCACGGCACCGTGCAGGTAGTGCTGAGAACCACACCCGGGTTGAGTCAGGATGACCACGAGCACAACCACCACGGCCAGCACCCCGAGGGTCAGCAGCACCAGGCAACAGATCCTTCCTGTGGACATGTCTGTTCGTAGGCTGCCGGAGGCAGCTGGGATGCTTTCACTCCTTTTGCAAAGGCGCCTGCTTTGCTCAGGGTGGAAGTAGAGCTGCTCTGGGCGGGAGGTCTCACTGAAGTGGGCTCTGCCCCCTGTGACTGAGAATTATACTTTTTAAGATTAAAAAACAATAAAAAGGAAATGGTGTACTTCTGTCCTGCTCTGACATGTGAGAGTCTTTTCACTCCCTTTTATAAACTAAACTTCTTCTGGCAAATCCCCCTGCTTTTTTTTTTTTTTTTTTTTTTTTAGTCTCTGATGACTCTGATGAAAATGTTTAACACATTCACTGCTGGAGCACTTCAGAGTGAAATCTCCACACTGCTTACTGGCTTCAGGCAGCCTTCCTGCCTTCATATTCTTGCCACATAGAGCAAACCACAATGCAAAGGTAGCCTGAATGGTGAATCACCGCATCAATCGTACATTGCACCTGGGGGATTTTCTTTCTGTCAGATTACCCAAAGAAATAAAAGCTAAGCACATATGAAATACAAAGCTCAAAGCTTCATATTTGATCTTACTTTACCTTATAGTTTACTAAGCCTTGCTTAATGACTTTTTTAAAATCAGTAAATCTTGCCAGTGTCCACACCATGCATCTTCTGTAAAAGAGCATAACAAAGTTGCTTTAATAAAACAGTAGGTTTTTTTGCAATTCTGCAAAACATTAGAGCCAAAAGCTCTGAGGTCCAGCATGTGTCAGTCAGCAACCAGAGCACCTGGGAAGAGAACGGCCGCTGAGTCAGGCAGACCTAATTCCTAGCAGAGCCGTGATGAGCAGCATGGGCTGCACAGCACAAGAGGCCCCACCTGGTTCTTAGTTTCACAGTTCTTGCACTAAAAAAGTTTGACATATGGCTCCATATCTGCCTGCTGTCTTTATAAAGGTTGTTACCTGTGATCACTTTCCAGCTATATTAGTGGGAAGAGGAGATTAATTTGGGCAGATTTACACGTGTATTTCAGTACAGGCTTTGAACTTGCACTCACTAAAATGCATCTCATAGCTAAATACTATTTCATGTATCAAATATACTATACTATATAAAATACTATTTCATGATATCTCAATAAATGGATTTGATGGACAACATTTTTTTTGTAGCTGTATCTTCCCGTAAGGTTATATGGGGAAAGAGAGAATAGTCCAAGAAAAATAAATGGTTTTGTCCAAGATAAACCACAGTCCCTGCAGAATCGTTCCTTGGTCTCCACATCTCTGTCTTGGCAAATACAGGCATGTGCAACAGCTCTAATGTGACTCTTCATTTCACCCCATTGCAAAACATCACTGATCTCATAATATTTCTCAGTCGCTGCGTGGCTTTCATGTTTCATTTTTTCAGAAATTATTCTAAGGGACTTAAAGAATCATCAGTTATGGTGGTTTTTCATAGCAGGGCTAGAAACCCTAGCCACTCACTACCAAGAGACTCAAGTGGATTTTGCCCATTTGCTTTCATCAAACACTATGGAGAAATTAACTCCAGACTAATTCTCCAGATTTCTTTCAAATTTGGTTTTCAGCTCAGCAGATCAAACATCTGTATCTGGAAACCAACCCTTGTGCTGCCAAGGAGGAGACCTGGAAGTGGCAAGAAAGGGAACAGGGATTGTTATTCCCAGACCACTTCTGCAAATGGCAAGATGTCTTTGCGATCTGCCCCAACAGATGCCTCCTCTAGGCGATCCCATTAGTCCTTACATACATGAATGAAGACTGAGCCTCCTTCTCTCTTTCAGTGCATAACCTTTACATTCTTACTGGTGCAATACTCAACTTCAGCCTTATTACGCTGCAATGTCTGCACCAACCCTCCCGTGTGAGGCACAGCTTAGCTGTTCAAACGCGGTGGCTCAGAACTGCGACCTCTATTTATTTATTTGTTTCTTAATACTTTCATGTTTATTGTCATTGCCTGGGAGCTCAGTTTGCCTTGGCACAAATCTCCACACACAGTAGTGCACTGACTTTCTGGTCCTCCTCTACCTGCGTGAAGGGCTTTCTATACTGCATGAAAAAGAGTTCAGGTATTTACAGACCCTTAGGGGCCAAGATACACTTGCAGAGATTTACAACAGCACTTCCGTGTCTAGTTGTCAGTGCAAAGAAAAGTATGCAGGCCAATAGAGTTCCACTTTCATGAGAAAATACTGAAGAATTCAAGATCGGAGCATATAAAATCCAGTGAAAACTCTGGGAGATACCATCAAAGGCATAAGAACTGTACGTAATAACACCCAGTAATATTAATTGATTAATATTACACTGTAAAAGCCTATTATAATAAATGTATTATGAATAGATTGTGATAAATATTATAGATTACACAATAAATAATACTTAATATATTATTAATCTATATTAAATTGCTAAGCATATTTTGGTATTATAAAGTTATAGCAACATATTAATATAATTTAATGGTTAACATATAATATTGAATTATATTTATGAAATTCAATAATCTAGATCTCATATCCTACTGCGTATTTTAATTAGAACTGCAGTCATTAACAAAGTCACCATTTCCTAACTAACAAACAGGCACAGTATTTTTACATTGTCCTTTATACTGTTTGGGGTTCTGTTACATCTTTTTCCAGCTCCTCAACTGAGACCAAACTTCAAAGTAATTCACCACCTGAAGGACGGGCATTGATAAGGGTAACGCGACAGTTACCTTACCGGTGGCAATCAACCCCGAATGGGCAGCGAGCTTCAGACTCGAAGAACATCAGGACAGAGTTGAAGAGATGGGAAGAAGTTCCCTTGCAGGTAGGTTCCTGTGGAGGTTCTCACTGTGCACATGTCCGATTGCATCATCCAGTGACCGAAGGGACTGGGCCAGCCTCTGGAGGCAGCAGCAGCCGCTCCTTCAGCCTCGCTGGAGAAAGCGTGACCCTTGCTGTTTGCTTTGGCAGCAGAGCGTTGCGCTGAGCCAGTGTAATTTCACCTGGAGTTCCAACATGCTCCTGACACACTGAGCTACCATCTGCAGAGCCTGCTCCTCCAACAGTGAAGCTGTTTTCAGATGACAACTGGAAAAGAAAGGCTGGTTGCTGGTTGCAAGCCAGCCCTCATAACCAGCCCAGGATCCTAGGCATGAAGAGACAATCCCAAAGATCACCAGCATCTACATGGGCTCTGCACATACTTCTTATTCAGTACAAGAAAGTTGGAGATGCAAATTAAGGAGACGCCTTCTGAGAACTCTGAGATCACGTTGCTGAAGCAGGATTCACGGCAGTACAGGGCCAGACTAAAGAGAACAAGGTTGCTGCCTAGTTTGCACAAACGGGTAGGTCTGTGGCATGAATGGCATTTCGGGCACTGTTTTCTCCATGCCTCCTTGTCTTCAGTGTAGTTTTCCATTGACAACAGGAGGAAAAGAACATGACTGGACAGAAGGCCAGGCGTTTCTACTTAGCAAAGAAAAGCTGACTAAGATGCTGGTTCTCAATTTATCACTCTTCATCTCTCTCTTTTTTTTTTAAAATAAACTAAAGAACCCTAAACACATACCAAACTCATACTGTGTTCTCATGCTAGCATCCTAACCATCCTCCTTTGCCTTTTGTCTTTGCACTATTCAAATTACATTGCAACATACTCTAAAAGATGCCTCTTTTTGCTGGTGTTTGTTTGTGGAGCATTGTCTGCTATCACTGTGCTCTTTCTGTAATAAATAACAATTTCTCAACTCTAAATTAAGTTTAAATGGTTGGACAAGAGTCTAGGAAAGTTTCCAAGAGCGTGCAGCCAAAGCCAAACTGAATGCACTTCATACACTGTTTGTCTCCTCCTCCAATCATGCTTATTTATAACCCAACAACATCAGTTGTCTCTATATGATAATCAAATTATAGAAATACAGGCAACATGCTGGGAATTTATTGTTCAAATCTTCTAACAGACCTAAAGAAGGATGCAGACCACAGATGTTGGTGGTCATCACAGTATTTGTCTCAGTACAATTTTTCAGAAACTGGGAAATCCCAACCTTTGTGTGTTTCATTCCTTTCGACACAAACAAATTTTCTTATTGATGGCTATGGTTTTGCTCCCATGAAAATCAGGTTTGTACAGTTGTTTAGAGATCTGGAAAAAACGAAACTCAGAAACTGCAAATTTTGGTACTAAAGACCCTCTCATTCATGTATTTGTGATGAAAACTAAGTCCATAATCTCCTTTACTTCAGGAAAACCAAACCCTGCTTCTTTTGTTACTGAATTTAGAAATGGAAACACTTTCTAAAATTACACATGGACTTATGTTCCACTGAGACTAACATTTAAACATTTTCAAAATCAAGGCTTTCTGATTTGCTTGTTAATTTCAAAGCATCCCAGGGAAAAACTCTTCTGGTTCTAGCTGAGAAATGTGTACTTCATCTCAAATCTTGAAAACGTGCTTCTGACTGCAGTGTTAATGGCTGAACAGATTCCTCCTGCAAGCCCTGAAAGGCTCTGAGGGTGATCACAAGCACTCCCGTGTGGTAGGAGCACAGCATCAGCAACAGGGCTGTGATGGATGACTGAGGAGGCAAGCCTACAGCTCAAAGAGGGCATGTGTCAACAGCCCGACACTACTCAAGGACTATTTTCCAGCATATAAAGGGAAAGAATTATAAAGCCTCAGCCATTATAACTTTCAGTTTCCCACTGTAGGGGATCCCCCTTTGTGGGCTGTTAGTACGAACTAAGAGAAAGCACCTGAGTAGGATTGTCACAGGACACCCACCGCTTCTCACCTCCCTGAAGCCATCAAAAGGACCCACCAGAATCCCAAGAACTCCCATGTCTTTGCTGAATTTTCCTAGGTTAAAGGCAGAGCTGCTGCTTCCTTCTTCCTTCCTTGTTGGTTACAAAGTGAAGCCTGAAATAAACGTGCTGAACACAGACAAAAATATCCTCTATTCTACAGTTCAATCAACAGATGGAAAGTCAATTAATTGCATGGCTCTGCTTGAGACGCAAGGCACAGGCCCACTCCCAAGGGGAACTTTTCTCCATTAACTTTATTCAGCGAGCACATCCAGGCACAGCTTGCTGCACAGCATCGGCGCTCAATTCTTCCTGTAACAGTGCACCCATGCTCAGGATTAGATTAGCAGTGAAACCTTCTGGTTCAGTATTTAACTCCTTAGTGCCCTTTTGGAGCAAATCCAGCAGGAGCTGTTTCTTAAATGTTTCTTAAAGATTAAACTTCATTAGTACAATTATTAAAGCAGCAGAAAATGTTGACACTAGGAAACAAAAGGGAGCCTTGTGTGCATCCAAAGACACCAAGAATAAACTCTGTCTGAACTCTATTTTGATTAAATTAGGCCAAAGCACTATTGTAGTGACCCCAAAGGATATCTGTGGATGGTTTTAACTTACTTGAAAGTATTAAATTCACTGAAAGTAGTAAATAAAATACATTTTATAGTTAAATGCACATGTACCTATATATAACAACCTATGCAGCTGTCATATGTGTTATAAGCTCTCAGTGAGACACCATCAGTGGAATTATTCCAGCAGATTTTTTCTGTTGTTAAATACAGCAAAACACTCTTGAATGAAAAGGAATTATTGTGATGTTACAATGAAGTC